TACAATTATAAATCCAGAAATTGAAAGCATGATTGATGAAATTGTGTTGGTATTTTTTTTTTCGGATTAAAGGTACATATATTTTAAGCATATTTTAGAGAATTCATTGTTTTAAAAACATTTTCACTAGGGCAGTCAGCAACAATAGAATAGTTCAAGTTCTCAACATGTAGAACATAGTAATTGAATCCCATCTAGTGTCAATATCTAAGATAGTTAAATTGACACAATAATTTCAATTTATCATTGAATTTTGTTGAATTCTAATCATCAACCCTCTTGCATGCATAATCAACCAACTCACCTATTAATTCCAATACTCGCTTGGCACCAGCATTTAACCATCAATGATAAATTATGTATGCAAATTCCCTTCTACACACTATTATCACTGGTTTGTTTTCAGCTGTAAGTGCAATAACTTTGTTTAAAATATTAAACCTTCTGCCTTTGATACCTTAAATTTGATATTTCTGCTGCTTTCTTAATGTGGAGATTATTATCAGTAGCTGAAATGATTAAAGTAAATTCCTGGTATTATTTTTTTACCCTTGAATTTCCATATAACAAATAACACTAATCAGATTTTCTTTTTTTTTATAAGACTAACAAAACAGGTAAAATATGATCAATAGATAGTAATAGCAACTGAATCAACTGCTAACAATTATTTATATATTTATTTTAAATACAAAGATAATAAGACTACACATGCAAATTTTAATACAGCAATATTAATTATTTTTATCACCGAATATAACATTATGTTTCAGACGTGGAATGATATAATTGTCTAATCTTTTTAAATGTTGTGCGATAAACTTTACCAGTAGTTATATTCTTTGCTGTTGCAACAATTTCCATAGATCCAAAACGTAATGTTACTTGTACAGAACGATTCAGTCCTAAATGAATGTCAGGCATATCAACATACAAACTACCCAATTTTTTCATCTCAGGTTCATCACAATATGTTGCATCATATTTGGTGGTATAAAAAAAGTTAAGTGTTCCACCAGTTTGGTTGGGGTAAACAGGGCCCAAATAACTGGAAAATTCTTTGTTAACATCCACCTCTGTTCCTTTCTTGGCCATCAAATCAAACTTGTAGATTCGGCCATTTATTGTTTTACGAGATAGTGGATCATCAGTTTGCTAATGTTAAAAAAGTTAGTTTTGTTATTTGGATAATATAATATTGATAATATATTACTGCTTAGTTTTGGTTGGTGATGCTTACCCATTCATCACTAATTTCAACTCCATATGACCATAATAATACTCTTGTGCTTATAATCTTCCTATCAAGTCCATATTCACATGCACCCTTTACTATTGCAGTAATTGGATTGGGCGGAACTATAATAACAAAATATTTATTAACTGATTGCTTTAATTTTTCTTTTTTCTTTAAAAAAAGGGACAGCCAACCAACATACTTGCTATTTCTAATTTATCTCCAAATTTTTGTTTAATTCTAGATTGAAGATATTTTGATTCACTGAATCCTCCAACCAAAAACATCACTGAACAGTCTGAACATTTTGACAACTGTATCTCAATCAACTTCAAAATTTTGTTGATTACTGGATCAAAAAATGATT